GAAGGAGATCCAACCAGTCCATCCTAAAGGAAATCAGTCTTTGGAAGCACTGATCCTTGCCCACCTGATGCTGAAGCTGAAACTCCAATCCTTGCCCACCTGATTTGAAGAACTGACTCATTGGTTAAGACCCTGATGCTGGGCAAGATTGAAGGCAGGAGGAGAAGAGGACGACAGAGGATGAGATGGTTGGATGGCATCACCAACTCGATGGACTTGAGTTTGAGCAAGCTCTGGGAGTTGGTGATGGACAGAGAAGCCTGGCATGCCGCAGTCCACGGGGTTGCAAAGTGTCAGACACGAGTGAGCAACTGAACTGAACTGAATATTTCATGGTATAGATATATGACATTTTGTTTATCCACTCATTGACTGAAGTGCATTTAGGTTGTTTCGATTTTTTCTATTATGAATAATGCTACTACGAACATTTGTGCACAGGTTTTTATGTGAACTTATCTTTAAAATATTCAAGTATTGCTGATTTGCAGTATTAGTTTCAGGTGTATCTGTTAGTCACTCAGTGATGTCTGACTCTGTGATCCCACAGACTGTAGCCTGCCAGGCTCCTCTGTCATGGAATTCTCCAGGCAAGAATACTGGAGTGGGTAGCCATTCCCTTCTCCAGGGGATATTCCAAACCCAGGGATCGAACCCAGGTCTCCTGCATGCAGGCAGATTCTTTATCATCTGAGGCTTCAGTTGTACAGCTGAGTTTCAGTATTTTTACAGATTATACTCCATTTAAATGATTACAAAGTAATGTCTGTAATTCCCTGATTTTCACGATATCGCCTTCTTGTCTATCTTGGACATAACTTCATTTCTCTTTGATACATGGGATTTCTGGGTCATAGGGAACACTGTGTGCTGTGCTTAGTCATGTCTGACTCTTTTTGACCCCATGGACTGTAGCCCACCAGGCTCCTCTGTCCGTGGGGATTCTCCAGGCAAGAATACTAGAGTGGGTAGCCATGCCCTCCTCCAGGGGGTCTTCCCAACCCAATGATCGTACCCAGGTCTCCGGCATGCAGGCAGATTCTTTACCATCTGAGCCCCCAGGGAAGCCCTACGGAACCTCTGTGTTTAACATTTGGAAGAACTGCCAGATTGTTGCCCAAAGTGGTTGCACTATTTTACCATTCTGACTGCAAAGTATGAGTGTTTCAGTTTCATTTTTATAACTTCTATTTCTTTGCTGGAATTTTTTTCATTTATCTAAAAAGAATTTGGAACTTAGAAGCATCTTTATGATGACTGTTTGAAAGTCCTCATCAGATAATTTTGATGAGTATTGGCAGCTGATTGTCTTTTACCATCAGATGTGGTTTCCCTGGTTCTTCTCATGGTGAGTGATTTTCAGCTGTACCCCAGGCACGTTGGTTGTGATGTCAGACACTCTTGATTCTGTTTAAATATTCTATTTCAGCAGGTGGCCATTCTGTTTGGACTCAGTGTGTAGGTTCCAGTCTTCTTTTGTGGCCTTAGTTCCAATGATAGTTTAGGTCTCAGAGCCCTTGTAAAGCTGTCATGGCCTGTCTTGTTCTTCTGTGCTTTGGGACTCCTACTGTGTCCCTGCTGGTCCCCATGATGTCTGGGGTCACTGTGTCACCACCCATCATGGGGAGCTGAAGCCTGGGTGGAGGGCAGGGCTTGGCTGCTGCTGTGGCTGTGAGCCCGTTGGACCACCTGCCTGTCTGCGGGGTCTGAGTACAGCTACCCTGTCAGCGTTTTCATCAGAGGAGGAAACCCCGAAGGCCGGGCCCCCCGCTCGGTCTGGTGATGCTCGGGGCCACCAGCCATTGGCTGCTCTGCCCACAGATGGAGACGGAGCCACTGACATGCCCTGGAAAGGCCCTCATGGCAGCATTGGTCCTGAGGGGCTGCTGATGGCTCTGCTTCTGTGTGTCGCCCTGGACTGTGATCCCCGCGTTTGCACAGGCTGAGCCGCGGAGCTGGCTTGCAGCTGCAGGGCCATGAAGGTGGCTCTCTGGGTCTTGGGACTTGGCATCTTCTTCCTCAGGACCAGGGCCGCCCCCACTGGTAAGAGTTTCCTTCCTCTGCCCATGGAACCTTCTGGAGGCTCTGCTCCACAGAGGCTGAGGCCCTGGGGTATGACGGTCCCCTGTTGTCTGCTGTCTGCTGGGGTCTTGCTCAGCCCAAGTGGGGCCACGTCCTAGGGCAGAAGACATGTGGGGCTCCTGAGTGCAGACACCCAGAGATGCTGGGCCTTGCGCTGACTGAGCAGGTTCCACCCGCGGTGAGCCAGAGCCCCTGGCTCCGCCACTCGGAGTCCAGGATGCAGGGCTGGCCAGAGTCCAGATGGAGTGAGGGACATGGCTGGCGTCTGGCCCCAGTGACCCAGACAGACAGGGGATGCTGATGGGTTCTGCAGGGAGCTGCCCCATCTCCTTCCCTAGGGGCAGGCAGGTGGTGGGTGGGTGTAGGCAAGCTGGGGGCGCCCGGCTGTGATGGTGAGTGTGGTTTGGTGCTGGGCCACGGAGGAGAGCCAGTCCCGGAGAGATGCCACGTCAGGGTGGGGGGTGGGGGCTGCTGGGTCCAGAAGCCAAGAGCTAGGTCATAGCAGGAGCTGTGGACGGGTGTCCTGCTGGGAGAGAGCACAGAGAGGCTGGGTGAGAGTGTGCCGTGTGGTCTGCGTGTGGGTCTGCACGAAGAGTGGTGGAGAGTGAATGCCGAGTACAGGCAGGGATGCGTGTGGGAGAAGGCTGGGCAGCTGTGTGTGGAGGCATGTGAGTGTGTCTTGGGTCTGGGCGGGGGAGGGTGGCCCTGTGCGGTGCCCTGGGGGCTGATGGAGGAAAGGTCACTGGGCAGGTTGATCCAGGGTCCAGTAGGAGGTGACAGAAAGCCAGACAGAGGGACACGCTGGGTGGGGTGGGGTCTGGGTGATGCTGGAGCGCGTGAAGGGTGGGGGGCTGGGTTCTGAAGCGCAGAGAGGTTGGCTGGCGGGAGGGGTGCTGGCTTGTGTTAAAAAGGCGCACACTGTGCACAGGGATGTCCAGAGGAGAAGGGGTGGGTGTGAGGGGGCTTTGGGAGCGGGTGGAAGTGGTGAATGAAGGCCTGGAGGGTGGTGGGAGGAGTGTGCCTTCTGTACTGAAGGCCGGGGGTCTCCCTCTCTCTCCTGCCCCACGAGTCCGGGACAGGCCCTGGAGGTGGTCTGGCCCAAGCTGGGCATACTTGTCCCTGTGGAGGCTATCTGACCCCCTGCATCAGCCCAGGGCTCGGTGGGATGATGGAGGGTCCAGGGGCCAAGATGAGGGGCTTCCGGGGCTGTGGTGTGGTGAGGAGGACGGTCCAGGGTCCGAGACAAAGGGGGCTGTGCAGCAAAGACCGGGGTGCAGGGGCCTAGTGAGGAGTGCAACCCTGCTCCCGGAGGGACTGGAAGGTCAGGGGGTGGCTGAGACTCTTGGAGACCCCAGGAAAGTGAGCTGGGGGACAGGGGGTGGGCAGTCAGAGATGTGGGGTGGGGGTGAGCAGGAAGATGAGGGGCTGCGGGGCTGTTGGGAAATGACCCTCGGCTGGAGGCTGGGATGGGTGATGGGAGGAGCCCGCTGTGCCAGGCAGAGGACAGGGGACTTCCATGCCTCGGGCCTGCGGTCACCCAGGATGTGGGGGCTCTGGCGGGCCAAGGAGGGCACTCAGGGCCCTTGCCCCACCACCTTTCTGGACGGCTCTGCGGTGCAGGACTTGGCTTTGCACGGAGGCCTCGGAGTCAGGCCTTGGCAGGGGCCCCAGGCACTGTCGTCACCACTACCGACTCTCTGCTGTTGCCGGCCCTCACTGGCCCATTCGTTCCATCTGCAGGTGGACCTGATGACCTGCGGTTGGCCTGCCGGCCCAGTCCATGTGACGGGGTGGTGCTGGTCTGGCATGAAGGGGCCTGGGGACACGTGTGCAACTGGGAGTGGATGCTGAAGGAGGCGTCTGTGGTCTGCAGGCAGCTGGGCTGTGGCCGGGCCGTGGGTGTCCCCAAGTACGTCCCGCGCTGCTCAGAGAGGCGGTGCGGCCCTGGCTCCACAACGTGTCCTGCAGGGGAGATGAGGCCTCCCTCTGGGGGTGCAGCCTGGGGCCCTGGACGAACAGCGAATGCCTCTACGAGTGGGTGGTGGCAGCTCTGTGTTCCAGTAGGTCGTGGGCTGGGGTGTGGGGGACGCGGGGCCCCAGGGCTCTCGGTGGGCCCCCAGAGCTATCTGAGACAGGCCGGCTCTCGGCTCTCCCTCCTTCCTCAGTCAGCAGGCCTCTGTGTTGCTTGAGAAATCCCTTCTTCACAAGGCAGTGGTGGTGTTCTGGGTGCTGGGGATGCAGCCGTGAGTACACGGTACGAAATGGCTGCACAAAGCCTGCTGTCCAGGGAGAGACTGAGGGAGAATGCACAAGCAGGCAGAAGTGCAGTGAGGGGGTGGACATGCAGGCAGGGGTGGGGGCGACACTTGAGGGGGCCCCACGGACTGTGCAGGCATCTTATCACCATCTCCAGCTCAAATGTTCTCCCTGGAGGTCTGTCTGGAGGGTCTAGGGCTGTGTCTGGCACTTCACGTCCTGTCTGAGCTGACCCACAGGGTGGTTTGTGGGGCCCAGAGCAAAGCGAGAAGGCAGGCGTCTGTTGAAAAATCAACGAGGGTGTCCAGAGATTGTTGAGCCAGGAGGGCCTCTGAGCAGCCCCGTGCTGACCCCTCAGCGCGGCACAAGGCTGGTCTGGCCCGGGCCGGGCCCTGCTGGGGATGGCTGCCGTCGAGGCCTGAGGTCAGCAGAGCCTGCATTGTGCGCGACGCCCTTTATGCTCCACACGTGGCACTCTCCGGGAGGTGCGGCTGGTGAAGGGCCGGAGCCCCTGTGCGGGGCTCCCTGAGATCAGCAATGTGAACGGGGTGGATCGTCTCTGTGGCCTGCACTGGGAGGAGGCCACGGTGTTCTGCTGGGAGCTGGGGTGCGGCCCTGCCCTGCAGGCCCCCCGTCAAGATGGCAGTGTCGCCAGGAAGTACATGACTTGTGTGGGCGATGAGCTGACCATCCGGAATTGCAGATTGAACAAGTTCTGCAGTGGCTGCGACTTCCAGAGAGATGCCCAGGTGGTCTGCTCAGGTGAGGTGGACCCTCCACCCTGGTGTGGGGTGGGGTGGGGACAGCAGGGAGCTGGCCATGGGCTGGCCATCCCTTCATGCTCCGAGTGGGCTGCAGCAGAGTGCATCCTGGGAGTGCCATCTGCTGGCCCAGTCCTGCCTGAGGCCTGGGGTGCCAACGTGGGGGAGATGGCCCCTGTGCAGCCCACCTGTTGTGGCGGAGGTGAGAGCAGGCTGGGGAAGGTGAGTGAAGGCAGGCAGGAAAGTCTCCTTGAGACAGAGAATGGACTCTGTAGCTCTTCCTCGCTTTGGACAGAGACCTAGAGGTGAGGGCACAGGATGGAGCTGGGGGCACGTACAGCCGGTGCCTCGGGAGTGCAGGGTGGCCCAGGAGAGCTGCGGGCCGGAAGCCGAGGGCGGGTGCAGTCCCGGCCGTGTGCCGCGTCTGTGGTGCATTGACTGTGACCATTGTGGGTCTCACACAAGTCAGGGTCAGTAGTGGGAACAATCTGGTCTCTTAGATCCTGGTACATTCTGGGTGGAAATGAGGTAAAGTGTCCACTCTCCTTGGTGCCCTCAGGGGCATGCCCTCAGGGGGCCATTACCTAGCCTCTGAGACAAGGAGGGTCTTGATGCCACCGCCCAGGGCAGGCAGAGGTTGTGCAGCGTCTGTTCTGATGGGGACAGAGGGTCTCTGGCCATCGGTTCTCCCAGTGCTCAGCAGGCTCTGCTGCAGGCAGATGATCGCCTCTGGCAGGACTGCTTAGGGTCCACAGAGGGGCTCAGGGCTGAGCTCTGAGCTGAGAAGCCCTGTACATGTCAGAACTGTCTCCTCCTTCAGGACACATAAAGGCCCGGCTGGTGGGTGGTGAGCACTCCTGTGCTGGGCGCCTGGAGGTGAGGCGTGGCCTGACCTGGGGCACCGTCTGTGACGCTGACCTGGACCTGGCCACTGCCCACTTGGTGTGCCGGGAGCTGCAGTGTGGCACGGCCGTGTCCACACCCAAGGGCGCCCACTTCAGCCAGGGCTCGGGGCTGATGTGGACCGAGGCCTTCTGCTGTGTGGGCAATGAGTCCCTGCTGTTCCACTGCCCTCGAGGCCTGGGGCACCAGTGTGGGCACGGCCAGGATGCGGGTCTCAGGTGCTCAGGTGAGGCCACGAGGGGGGCTCCCAGGCTGGGCCCTGCCCGCTCCCTGCCAGCCTCCAGGTGCGCCTGGCCGCGGGGCTGGGCCGTTGTGCGGGGCCCGTGGAGCTGTTCCACGCGGGCGAGTGGGGCACCGTGTGTGACGACGGCTGGGACCTGCGGGACACCCAGGTGGTCTGCCGGCAGCTGGGCTGCGGGCACGCGCTCAGCGCCCCGGGGGCCGCGCACTTCGGGGCCGGGCCGGGCGCATCTGGATGGACGAGCTGGCCTGTGAGGGCCACGAGGCCGCGCTGTGGCGGTGCCCGTCGGGGGGCTGGGGCCGACACGACTGCGGCCACAAGGAGGACGCCGGTGTCCTCTGCTCAGGTGGGTGCTGAGATCCAAGTGCCCTCCCAGGGCCGCTGGGTCTCCAGGGGTCTCGCGGTGTTCGTCGTAAGGTAATGGCCAGTGCTTTTCTGGGATTGCACTGAAACGTCCAGGGCTGTTTTCCTGCCGGTTTGAAGAACTCTGCACTTGACTCCTCAGTGCCCTCCTGCTGCAGTGATGCTGAGCGACTGATGCCCCCTTCTTTGCCCTGTGGGCGCGCGGGGGTGGGGGTGGAGTGGGAGGCGCCCTGCGGTGGGCAGAGTGAGCTCGCCTTGCTCCTGCTCTTGGAGTAGCACTGGGGGCCTTTCTCCGCAGCTGCTGGAAGCCCATCTCACAGTTGGACTTGGGGCTTCCCTGTCTTGGATTCTTGATTTTGATCCACATTTCAGTGTGCAGGACGGCTTCTTTCCAGAGTATTGTTGAGGCATGGTAGGAAGATTGCTTGCTTTTAGCTCATACATCTCTGAGGCTTCTTCTGTGCATCTTGTCTGGATGGGATTATTCTCAGTGATGGGGTTTTGTCACATGCTGGAGGCATCTGTGCTTCCTTCCTCCTCCGGGGTCTCTGGGAAACCCTTTGAGAGGGGGTGGGCATCCCTCTGTGGGCTCTTGGCCTCTTCTGATGGATTTTGGTTCCTATTTTAGGTTTAGGAACGTTTTCCGCAACTTGCTTGGATGTCTTAGATGACTGCTTCTTAAGGCACTGCGTTTCTTTTCAAGTAGCAGGCCTGTTGCTCTGGCCCCCAGCCTTGTCACTCATCTGGGGGGTGGGCCTGCTCCTCCCTTGCTTCCCGGGAGAGGGCCTCTCGGCGCTGTCCGCTCACACTGTGCCCTGCTGGCGCTTCTGGTCTTTCTGTCCTTGGACGTACGTCTAACTTCCACTCTTTTCAGCTTGAAGCTCTGCCTTCCTCCGTGCTCTGGGCTCCTCAGGCAGCTGCTGGTGCTCGCTGGCGGACAGGCCTCTGTAGGGGGCCTGGCTGTTGGCAGGGGTGGGGACTCTGCTGTCCCAATTAGCCTGGCAGCAGCGGGGTTCCAAGGGGAGATCAGAGGCAGGCAGGCGCTGTGAGGCCAGGCATGGAGCGGGCACTGTTCACCCTTGCCCCGTGCATTTGGTTGGTGGAAGGTCAGCGGTCAGCCCAGATCCAGGGCTGGGAGTAGACTCGGTGAGGGGGCAGGGACAGGCGGGGATCTGAGTGGCCGCTTTTACTCTATCACACATGTAATTCCTGCCATTTATTTTCGAAGCTTATTTTACCTAGTTAAGATCCTGTCAGATGCAATTCATGTCTCAATTCTTCAGTTTATCCCCATGTATGTATTTTGATGTATTCTGATTATGGGCCCTTTTGACTTATTTTTAGAGGGTTGTGTCCTACTCCACTCTGTGGTCACGTTATAGTCGGCTTAACATACTCCTTGTTCCTGGACTCTCACCACTCCAGGGTAACAAGACACTACTTGGGTGCTGACCAGCCAGGACCAATGACAGACTCGGAGATCGGGCTAATTCCTTTTTTGTTGTTGAATTTTTACAGTCACTGCTAAATTGATCATGTTGTTTGAAAGGGTTATTCTGTATCTGAGTGACTTCCAGGGACAGATTTCTACAGTCAGTTGACTTACTAGGGATCGCAGCATTGGAGCTGGGGCTTAAATTGGCTTCCTGTGGGCCGCTGCTCCCGTCTTGGATGGGGATGGACGGGGATGTGGGTGGTGAGAGCTGGGTGCCGGAGGCCCTGACTTGGCTCGGGTCTTGGTGCTGGGGGCCCCTGGTTTCGGCCTCCTCCTTCAGAGCCCCTGACCCGAGGGGCTTGTCTTCCAGAGTCAGTGGCCCTGCGGCTGCGCGGTGGTGCCGGGCCCTGTGCCAGGTGGTTGGACGTGTTCCACAATGGAACATGGGGGGCCGTGTGCAGTAACGCCCTGAAGGACGCCTCCTTGTCCATCATCTGCCAGCAGCTGGGCTGCGGGGAGCAGGGCTGGCTGGAGAGCAGGCTGGACCACAGCAGCCTGGGCACCTCCTGGGTGGACAACATCCAGTGCCGCCGGCTGCGGAACTCCACGCTGTGGCAGTGCCCCTCAGCCCCCTGGCACCCGCACTCTTGCACCCATGGGGAGGAAGTCTGGATCACCTGTGCAGGTAGGCCCTGCCACCTACTGCCAGTGGGCAGACTCTGGGGGCCCTGGAGGCAGCTTCAGTGTCCTGACAGGTCATCTGCAGGGGCTGCCATTCACCGATGGCTGGGGGTGGTGGGGTCTCTGGGCTCTACTGGTTCCGTTCTGAAGCTTCTCTGAGCACTTATACTGGGTGAACCGCTATTTGAATCCAACAGGATCATCAGGGACAACGACGCAGGATTCCGGGGAGGTCCTCAATTGCTCCTCAATGGGCAGCTGCCCAGGTAACCCCCCACTGCCCACCCCGCCCCCCCCAATCCTCTCCCCATCCGGGTCCTGCCCCGCGGTGACCACAGACCCCTCTTGCAGAGGAGGGCGAGCTGCGTGTGTGCGGGGGTGAGGACTGCTGCTCGGGCCGCGTGGAGCTCTGGCAAGCTTGCTCCTGGGGCACCATGTGTGATGACTCCTGGGACCTGGCGGACGCCGAGGTCGTGTGCCGGCAGCTGGGGTGCGGCCGGGCTGTGGGCGCCCTGGCGGGGGCCGCCTTCAAACCAGGCTCGGGGCCCGTGTGGCTGGATGAGGTGGGGTGCCGGGGCAGCGAGGCCTCCCTGTGGGGCTGCCCGGAGGAGCCGTGGGGCCGCAGAGACTGGGGGCACATGGAGGACGCGGGCGTGCACTGTGTGGGTGAGTGGTCCAGGGGGGCTCTGTCTGTGCCTTCCATGGGGTGAGGGGTCCAGGCGGGGCTCTGTCTGCCCTCCATGGGGTGAGGGGTCCAGGCGGGGCTCTGTCCGTGCCCTCCATGGGGTGAGGGGTCCAGGCGGGGCTCTGTCTGCCCTCCATGGGGTGAGGGGTCCAGGCGGGGCTCTGTCCGTGCCCTCCATGGGGTGAGGGGTCCAGGCGGGGCTCTGTCCGTGCCCTCCATGGGGTGAGGGGTCCAGGCGGGGCTCTGTCTGCCCTCCATGGGGTGAGGGGTCCAGGCGGGGCTCTGTCTGCCCTCCATGGGGTGGGGGGTCCAGGCGGGGCTCTGTCTGCCCTTCATGGGCTGAGCGATCCAGGCGGGGCTCCGTTTGCCCCTCCATGGGCTGAGCGATCCAGGCGGGGCTCCGTTTGCCCCTCCATGGGCTGGGTGGGTAGGTGCGGCCTTCCTAGGGCCTGGGGATGAGGCGCCCGGTGGGTTCCTTTGGCGCCCCCTCAGCCCTGGTGCTGCAGAGTCCAGCTCCGAGCTGGTCCCTTGGATGCTGGGGTGGAGGCTGTCTCCATGAGCTGTTTCAGCCTGAGGGGGCTAGGGTGCTGCTCCGGGGGATTGGCTGGCCACAGCCCAGGCTCCCACTTGGATCCCACCCACTTTTCCTGCAGGTGACAGAGAGGCCGTCACCCTACGTTCGGCATCAGGTAGATGAGCGCTTCCTCAGGCCTCAGCTCTAGCCCTCCTGCTTCAACCCACCCGGAGGGGCCCTGCATGGAGCCCTGCCTCACTCAGAAGGGCCCTGTAGGGACTCTGCCCCACCCGAGGGGCTCTGCATGGGGGCTCTGCCCCAACCACAGGGGTCCTGGAGGGACTCTGCCCCAACCACAGGGCTCCTGGAGGGACTCTGCCCCAACCACAGGGGTCCTGGAGGGGCTCTGCCCCAACCACAGGGGTCCTGGAGGGACTCTGCCCCAACCACAGGGCTCCTGGAGGGACTCTGCCCCAACCACAGGGCTCCTGGAGGGACTCTGCCCCAACCACAGGGGTCCTGGAGGGACTCTGCCCCAACCACAGGGGTCCTGGAGGGACTCTGCCCCAACCACAGGGCTCCTGGAGGGACTCTGCCCCACCCTGAGGGGCTCTATCCCACCCTGAGAGGCCCTGTAGGGGCTCTGCCTCAGAGGTTCTGTGGACTCTCCCACATCTACCTGGCTGCTGGGTGGAGGTCAGGATCCCAGGACCGCCGGGCTGGAGACACTCATCTCTGCAGGTGGCCTGGGCCAGGCAGGCAGAGCGCCCAGGGAGGGTCGGCCAGCCCCCGCCCTGCTGGGCCACCTGCTGGGCATCTCCTCTGGGCCTTTCTCTTGCCAAATGCCGGGTTCGGTTCTGGTACACTGTGTCCTCTTAGACACTGAGTCTGAGTCCAAAGCCGTCAGGACGCTAAGAGCTGCCCTCCTGGCCCCTCCCTCCTGGCACCCCTCCTGGATTTAGTGCTGTGACCGCAGGGCCAGCTGGGACAGAAGCACAAGGCCCACCTCTCCTCTGGGTGCCCCCCCCCCCCAGGGGCTCCGGTGGTCCAGGCCGAGGGTCACAATGCCCCAGGAGGAGCAGGCACATGGGCGAGACCCTCCTCTCCCTGTCTTCCCAGGCAGCCCTCTGGTCCTGGCGCCTGCCCTTGAGGCTGGGATTCTGCCCATGACCCTCGGCCTGGCCCTCGGCCCCCTGCTGCTCGTCATCTCCCTGGTCCTGGGGGCTCGGTGGTTCCGGGCCAGAGGTGCCTGCAGGGGTAGGTGGGCGTGGTGGGTGGGGTTGACTCTGGTTCCTGGGGGTGGGGAGGCTGGGGGGGTGCTTTGAGACCCTAGCCCATCGCAGCTTCTGTCTGTCCCTTCCGCTCCACCACAGCCAGTAGCAACTTCCTGCGAAGTAAATCCATGAGTAATTGGTGACTGGAGACGCTGGGCCCTGCCCCACTTCTGAGAGGGGCCAGACGGGGGAATCCACAGTCCCAGGGCTGCCTGGGTGGGACAGAGGGCTCCAAGGGTATCTGGACCCCTCTGTCCTCCATGCAGCTGGGGACAGCTCCCACATGCTGTGCCTGGGGAAGCATGTGGCTGCTGCTATCCTTGGGGAACTGCGGCAGAGGAGCCCAGGGTCCAGAGGGTCCTGGGACTTGTGGCCACCCCGCAGGGGCCCTGTGGGCGGGCTTAACTGCTGGGAGTGCCTCAGCTAAAGGGCTCTGGTGTGACCCCTGCAGGTTCTGGAATGCTGGGGAGCCTGCCCTCAGAAGGTGTTTATGAGGACATTGGAGCTGCCCTCGCTGGGGAGAAAGACGAGGCTGCTGGAGCGCCCGGGGCCGCGGTGCCGGAGGAGGAGCATGAGGACGCGGCGGAGCCCGAGCCCGAGCCCGAGCCCGAGCCCGAGCCCGAGGAGGGCGGCGCGGAGGGCGGCGCGGAGGAGGGCGGCCCCCTGAGTCCCACGGGCGCGCAGCTCTGCGCCGTGGCCTCCGTGGCGCTCTTCCTGCTTTACTGTTGCTTCGCCCGGGGCTCCGCCCCGGCCCACCCCTACATCTAAAGGCCCGAGAACGCCTCCGGTGTGCGTGACTCACCCCGCCACCGGCTTGGTGCTGGGGCACTCGCCCTCCCCTTCCAAGCTGTCCCTTAGACTAGAATCTTCTCAGGGATAGACTCGGAGTTTAGGGAGGGGCCTGGGCTTCTCTTTGGGTTTCTTCTCAATCGGCAGCCACTGTAGGGGCTGAGCACGCGGTGGGAGGAGGCGCGCCAGCAGCAGCCCGGCCCCTGCCCCGTCCTTGTCTCGCCCTCTGGCCTCACGGTGAGCAGGAAGCCAGGGCCCAGGAGTCCTGGGTCTCTGAGGAGTTGCTGAGGGTCCCTAACGGGTGTCTTTCTCTTTCAGTGCAGGAGGGGCTGTTCATAGCCTGGGCCTCCTCACACCTCAGGCTGGGAAGGAAGACCCCAGTGGCCTCTGCCCTGGGACGTGCTGACCACGAGCCGGCTGCAGGGGACATCAGCGAGACCAGGGCAGGGGAGAGGCCAGTGTGCCTGAGGCTTTCATCCTCCTTGCTTCTTAAAGAGTTTTATTAAATGTCCCACCCATAATTCATCTCAGACATTCCTCAGATGCCCACCACGGCCTGGGGTCTGTTTCTGGCCCCCTCTCTGCCTCGCCCTGGTCTGGGGTGGGCCCTGAGGGTCCGTAGCTGTCATGGACTCTTGTCCTCACGCGTCTCCTGAGTTGTGTGTGTGTGTGTGTGTGTGTGTGTGTGTGTGTGCGTGGTCCCTGATGAACCAGCTCCGGCCACCCCTCCTTTCATCTGCGGACATGCTTTACCTGGCTCAGGTGTTGTGCCAGGGTCCCCAGTGTGCACGCATGTCCAGCCCTGATGCCCCCACCAAGCCCCTTGTGGCCACAGCTCCCTGATGACACCCTCTAGTTGCCCTGTATCTTCTTCCTGTGTGGGTCTGGTATCAGTTTGCAAATGACCAGGCCCCCCTCCTCCATCTGTAGATCTTTCTGGACTCCCACCTCCTATCTCAGCACCCTGGGAAAGACCAGGCTTACTTCTCCTGTGATCCCTCCCCTACAGGGTCTGTCCAGCACTGCCGTTGATTACCACCTACCTTCCATGTTTAACTTCAGGGTCTGGCCAGCCTGCAGTGACCACCACTGGCCCTGGACTCTTGGAGGGTCTCTGTCTGCTGCCTCCCACCTCCCGGCCCTTCCCCTGTGCCCCACCCTTGGACTGCAAGAGAGATGCTGCTGTGGTCTCAGGGACCACGCTGCTGGAGGACGTGAACATGAAGGTTTCTCTTGGATGGGAGCCCTGATGAGGAAGATGATCAGGCTAATGTCTAGAGGGACTGGGCAGGGCCTCGGGAGCAGTGAGGAGGGCAAGTCACCAGGTCCTGGGGCAGCTCCTCACAGAACTTTGGGGGACACACAGGGGTTTCCTGGGTGTCTGAGCCCACCTTGCACCCCTATGCATGTTCAAGGCCTGCCTGCTGGCCCAGAGTTGGCCAGCCTGGCTTACTGGTGTGCACTGTACATCTGGGGGGCCTGGGAGTGGGAGCAGGTGTGCAGGGGGAGAAGGTCCCTGGGTTGGAGGAAAGTGAGCAGGCAGGAAGTGGGGTGAGGCCCGAACAGAGTAAGGGTGCCAGCCCAGCAGTCAGAGAGGGTGGGGACTTCGAGAAGGATGCACCTGCCCTTCCCTGCATGCCTCTCCCTTCTCCTGCCCCCAGCATTCTGGTTACACTGCCTTCAGAGCGGAGTGTGAGCTCGTCCCCGCGGGCTCCCAGCCCTCTCAGTCCACCTGGGGGTGCTGATTAGGCACCTTGTGAGTAGAGCCCACTGCGGACCCCACTGAGGCTGCTGCTGGTCCCCGCACCCCTGAGGTCCGAGCTGGGGTGCGGCTCAGTGCGCGGTGCAGGCTGCGGTTTGGGAGGCGCTGGGGCTGCTGCACAGAGGGTCCTGGCTGACGGGCCCTTGACTTCTCTAGAAACCCCTTGTCTTCTCCACACTCATCTGACAACCCAGGCTGCTCTTTGTAAAATTGGTTCTCTGGCAAATCTTTTGGAAAGTAAC